GGACTTGGGCAATGTGGAGAGTGGCTGTTGGGCCCAGCTCTGAGGAAGATCCCTTAGTTGAGGAGGGAGGAACTAGAGGGGGAGGGGTCTCTGCCGTCAGACACTGGGACCTGGATATGTGACTACCAGGGTCCTTAAGTTACAGGCATTTGCGTTCTGTCCAGGAGGCTAAGACCCCACAGCTGCGCTGTTCTTGACTTAGATACGTTTGCCAGACAAAACTGGACCCACGATAGTACATTTTTGATTTTCTCTCAAATAAGCTAATTAACACGCACGAACACATGCACACATGAATCATGTAGATCAGCCAAAAGGCTTAGTGGCGTTCATCTTCAAACAGCGAAAGCAGCTGAGCGCCTGGACCCCGGAGCCCGTCAGTTTCGGATTCCCGGAGTTGCTTCGTTTGTTCGTCGTCTGCTGCTCCCCCTTCCTCGGCCTCTCCTGGGTAGAAGCCGGCTGCCGGCGCAGAGCTAAGCGGACGGTGACGCCGACAAAAGCCCTGAGTCACTCGGGTTAGCAGCCGCGCCCCCGCGGGCTCCGCGGCGCTCGCAGAGCCCAGGACTCGCAGACGAAAGCAGCGCCGTCAATTGCGTTTTCGGTGAACTGACTTGGCGGCAGCAACGGCCCCCGCCTGTCTCTGTGGCGCAATCGGTTAGCGCGTTCGGCTGTTAACCGAAAGGTTGGTGGTTCGAGCCCACCCAGGGACGTGCCCACCTCTTTTATGAGCCCTTCGCTGGTGGCGGGGCCCGGCCGCTCTGTGACTTGTGACTTCTGACCTCTGCCCGTGCGCTTGCCGGGACCTCGGCCGGCCGGCCCTCAGGTTCCCAATTACTGTTTTGATTCGCATCAGTGCGCCTTCCAGCCGGCTGCAGGACCATGAAGGCAGGAAAGGGAGGGCGGCGCCGCTACCAGGAAGTTGAAAAGCTCTGGCCCGCCTTTGCCCTGCAGCTCTCACCTGAGCACGAGTTGGCGAGCCCGGGATTACCCCGCGGCGCCCCGCTGCCTGCACCCCCCGGAGTCGGCGCCTGGATGTCGGGGGACCGCGCTCCTTCGTCCCCACCCTCGCTTCCCCCGGGGCCGCCGCACTTGCTGGGGCCGCCGCACTTGCTGCGCCCGCCTCCCCGCCTCCCTGGCTCCAGCTCTCCTCCGCGTCCGCCCTCCTAGCTGCGGCCAGAGAGGCCTGGGAGACAAACCTCAGGTCTTCAAGCTCCCTCCGCGGCTCGCGGGGCCCCACATGATTTCCTCGGCGCCGAGGCGGTGCCCCTCTTGATGGGCCCCGGGACTGTCTCCCGTCCCTCCCTGGCCCTGCGATCCCTACAGAACCAAACCGCTGGTTTCTGCCCGGGCTCGGGCTTTAAATCCTGGCCCAGGGACCCTTGGCCTTTCTCCACTTTTTGGCCTAGCCAACTGCTCTGCATCCTTCGCCACCAGACCGAAGCTCCAGCCGCTGCCCTGCGCCCCCTCTGTGGCCCTGTCTTTCCCGCTAGAAGTTAAGCTGCTGCACGGAATGGCGCCTGCGCCCATCTGGTCTCTTCAGCGCTTAGACTAACACGTGTGAGCTGAGTGCCCGTGGTTTCCGAACGCCCCTGTGTGGCCCTCAATCTCACCGAATAGTCGCAGATCGCCCCGAATTGCTTTGCTTTATAGCGCACCACGCAGGCAGTCAGGCTGTGGCTCTGCCAGGGCCCAGGCCTCCACCTCCTGCCTGGCCGCGGCTTCCCCCTCCCGCCCCAGTGCTCCGAGCCCCTCGGATGCCCACCCGCGCCGCCGGCTACACCCCCCGCAGCACCCCCTGGGCAGCTGTGGAAAGGGTGCTGGCGGATCCACGCCCCCCGTGGGGCAATGGCTGCTGCGGGAAGAGGGCTTCTCATCAACCCTAGCCAAGCTCTGATGGCATTTTGATCAAGAACTGAAAGCGAGAGAGGACTGCTCGTGCTTTGTTCCCACGGCTTTTTCCTTCTCGGTGAGAGCAGCAGGCAAGACCCTGCAAAGAGCTTCATGGAATCACCCAGTGCTCTGTTTGCGACTTCGGAAACAGCGGGGCTGAGCTCAAGCTCTCTTCCGTGGGCAACGACGGCCTCTCCACCCCAGCCGCCACCCCCATGGGAGCTGGCTGCCGAGGGACGTGGTGCCGTCACTTAACTCCGGGGAGCTCAGTACCTTTGCTGTTGGTGGTCGAACCTTGGTGCCATCAGTGCCATGAACCAAGCTGCACCTGATTTCCACACCGAAGCAGGAAAGCTGGTTTCGTTGTCCTTGCCTGTCCTCGCTGTAATCTCCCCCCAAAAGTGTCTTCAGCCCGAGCCTGCTCCTCCCCGGCACTCCTGGGTGCCTCTCCCGGGCCCTGCTTTCTCGGTCCAGACACCGAGAAGTCTCTGTCCACTTGGGTCAACGCGGGGCAGCGAGCTGCTGTGCTCTTCTCCATCCCCCACCCCACCCCCAGTCCCCTGTCCCCACCCAGGCCCCTGTTCTCCTCAGAGAAGTCTGCCTGCCTGGGACCACCCTGCTCCTTCTCAGCCTTCTGCTGCCTGGCCGAGGTCCCCTGCTGCTCCCACGCTCTGTCTGCAGGGAGTCTGGGGGTCTCTGACCAGCAACCAGCAACAGCTGTGCTTTGGGCTCCACTGCAACCATTCCTTCACTGATTTACTTACCCATGTTTGTAGGAGCAACGTCTATGCATTTTTTTAAAAGATTTTATTTATTATTTATGTGAGAGGTAGAGTTATAGACAATGAGAGAAAAAGGTCTTCCATCCACTGGCTCACTCCCCAAATGGCCATAATGGCCAGAGCTGAGCTGATCCAGAGCCAGGAGCCAGGAGCTGGGACTCCCACACAGGTGCAGGGGCCCAAGCATTTCATCCATCTTCCACTGCATTCCCAGGCCATAGCAGAGAGCTGGGTCAGAAGAGGAGCAGCTGGGACTAGAACGTGCGGCCATACAGGATGACTGTGTGCAATGGTTTAACCTACTGAGCCACAGGGCCAGCACCGACTTCTGCACATTTAAAGGGTCACCATCCAGAGCTGATTTGCTGCAAGGGAGTGGTTGGGCTGGACAGAGGGTTTGTGAATCTCTGAGATTTGGGTCCCCCGGGCATCACTGTTGGCACTTGGAGATCACAGGCCTCTTCCTTCCACTGGGGAGGGCCCTGCGGGCTTCTTCCTGCCGGCAGAGATGCCGGGTGGGGATGAGGGCATGGCAAACTCAGGGGGACATTCGGAGCTCTGATGCTGCCACCGCCCTTTCATTTCCCCCAGGGTCAGGGGTCACTTGTCCTGAGAGCCCAGGCTCCACCCCAGTGTGTGCTCCTTCCTGGCCCTCTGTGAGCTCCGGAGGTCTCTCTGCACGGAGAAGTACAGCCCCGTGTCTGCTGCAAGCAGGAGTCCCATCACCAGGCAGAAGGCGATCTGGTGCCAGGGGAGAACGGAGGACGAGATGACTGGATTTGCTGGACCTGGGAGGAGGTACAGAGAGATGAGAACAATGACAGTCGTTCAGGCAGACATGTGGAGTCATCAGTGAGGTCACCAGGGGCCATCATCCTTACACCTGACAATAGACAGGCCCTAGGGAGTGGGGGGTCTTCCTTACACCTGCCAAGAGACAGGCTCTAGGGAGTGGGGGGTCTTCCTTACACCTGCCAAGAGACAGGCCCTAGGGAGTGGGGGGATCTTCCTTACACCTGCCAAGAGACAGGCTCTAGGGAGTGGGGGAGGGTATCTCCCTCACACCTGCCAAGAGACAGGCCCTAGGGAGTGGGGGGTCTTCCTCACACCTGCCAAGAGACAGGCCCTAGGGAGTGGGGGGGGGGATGTCTGGGGGAAGTCTGTGCTTCCTCCTACTGACTCCTGCTTAGTGCTCCCCGAGCGGGCGCAGTCACCAAACCCTGGGCCACAGCTCTGCTTGCCAGGTGGGGAGGTGACAGGAGTGTTCAGCAGGTCAGGCTGGAGCTGGCTTTTGTGTGACAGTTGGGAAGTTGTCAAATAACTGTGTCGTCTGTAAAATGGGATGTGTCTCCCGAGGGACTCTGTCGTAGGCTTCTGGAGCCTGTCCAATTCCTACATGTTTCCTGGTGGCTAAACACACAGGCACTGGAGCTCTTGGTATGGCCTTAGAGACACCTTTCTTTCTTTATTATTGGTTTATTGACTGCGTCTCTGTTGCATCCCTGTAAGTGGAGTCAGCATTAGCAACCCCACGACGTCGCACAGGCCCGCCGTGCTGGTCACGAGGTGCAGCTGGCATCACTGTGCAGAGCGAAAGGTGCCCAGCGCAGGCCGACTTGCCCCGCTCCAGGAGAGGCCCAGAAGGCTCAGGCAGATGAGGGGGCCCACCCTTGGGCCCATGGTGAGTCAGGGGCAGGGTGGAGCCAGACTCTGTCTGCGAGGGGATGAGGGGCTCCTGCCAGGGTGCATCTTGGCTGGGCCTTGAGGAGGGCACGGAGGGATGGGCCAGCAGGATAGGGACCCAGCATGGCTTGTGGCAAGAACATGTGTGCTTATAGGGGAGGAGCTGTGGCTTCTGCTCCTCTGTCCCACTGCAGAGTCGATGACACGTCTAAGCGATGCGAGAGGAACAGGCTGACGCACAGTGGCCAAGCCTCCCCGCCCTCAGGCACTTCGGCCTCCCTGGCGGTCTCAGGGTCTCAGGAGGAACCCACACTGAGAAGTCTGCCTTCCCGGGGGTGGGGGAGGGCAGTGCCGGCTCCACACACGGGCCCGGCTCGCTAGGGCTGAGCGGTCCTCACCTTGAACAGTGATGGTCACAGTCTCCGAGGACATGTTGTGGTGCCCGATGAGGCCCCTGCAGAAGTAGGAGCCACTGTGGTTGCGCGTGGCTTCTGGAATGTGGAGGTCGGAATTTTGATGGAAATACCTCAGGCCTCTGCCATTCTGGAGATAGGTGACCTTGTGCAGCTTATTGTTCTTCCAGCTGTGGCACCTCAGCTGAATGGGCTCCCCTTCCTGGAACACCCACCGCGGGGCCTGGAGCACCAGCCAGCCTGAAACCACAGACACCCGCTTGCCTCAGCTCTCCACGGCGAGCTCCTGTGAAGGGGACACGGACCGCCGGACCCCAGGGCCACGCTCAGCTGGCTCCCTTTGGGGAAAAGCTGGCCGGGCCCCAGCGCGCACGTCCCACCAAGGCCTTCCATCTAACGGGGAAGAGGACACACAGCCACGTGGTCAGAATGTGAGGAGAGCGCAGAGGGCTGAGCGCTGAGGTGGCTGAGAAGCGAGGCCGGGGTCTCCCTCTGCAGGCTGCCTACGCGCTGGACCCGGACCCGCAATGGCAGGGACCGGGAACTACAGCAGGTCCTGGATCAGACAGTGAACGCTGCCCGTGCAAGTGCCGATTTGCCCCTTAGAGAAGAGGTGGGTTTTAGAAGGAAGAGGCAGTTGTAGAGCTATTGAAAGACTGCTGAGCAGGCAGGGGTAAGGTGGCTGGGTGGCGGCTGCAGGACCCTGGAGGAGGTGCTGTATTACCATGGGGGGGCGGGGCTGGGGTGCCCGCGATAATCGCGGTGTCTGAAGCATCCAGGCCCCAGCGAGGGCCTCTTATCTCTGAGCACAGCCTTCAGAGGAGAGAATCCTTACGTCCCCAGGCCAGCTGTTCCCCCACCGTCCAAGTAGTCGGACTCAGAACCTGAAGTCATGGTCAAGAGGGGCCCGGAAATGTAAGATGATGTGGCACCTGAACACAGTGACACGAGAACGCATTCCCGAGACAATGTTCAGTGAAAATGGTAGAATATAAAGAATATTCATAAAGGAGGCCAGCACTGTGGCCTAACAGATTAGGTCACCACCTGTACAGTCTCTCATATGGGTGCCAGTTCAAGTCCCAGCTGCTCCACCTCCAATCCTGCTCCCTGCTCATGCACCCGGGAAAGCAGCGGAAGTCCTTGGGCCCCTGCAGTAACTTGGGAGACTGGAAGAAACTCTTGACTGCTGGTTTTACCTGTTGAGGCCATTTGAGAGGCAAACTGGTAGATGGGAGAGCTCCCTCTCTGTACCTCTGCCTTTCAAACAGATATTTTTAATCAAGTCCATTTCCTTCCATATATATATGTATGTGTATATATATATATATATGTAATTTTATTTATTTGAAAGGCAGAGTTACATAGAGACAGGGAGCAACAAAGAGAGAAATCTGCAATCTTCTGGTTCAGTTCCCAAATGGCCACTACAGTTGGGGCTGGGTCAGGTGGAAGCCAGGAGCCTGGAACTCTATCTAGGCCTCCCCTGTGGGTGGCAGGGCCTCAAGTACTTGGACCGTACTCTGCTGCTTTCTCAGGCACATTAACAGAGAGCTGGGTTGGAAGCTGAGCAGCTGGGACTTGAACCAGCACCAATATGGGATGTTGCCACTGCAGGCCCCTATTTTCATATATATTTTTATGTTGAACCCAAATGACTTTTATAATAAGGAAGGACCAACTAAAATTTACTATAATTTAGAAAGTCTTCTGCCTCACGCTAAACCAAACTGGTAGAAATGTTTTGATGAAGACTCTCTAGCAGGAAGATTTACTGAACAGAAGGTAATCTGTATTACTTACTAAATACAGCATTTTTTGCAGGCATTGTGGCATAATGGGCTAAGCTGCCATTTGGGACACGTGCGGCCTGTATCAGAGGGCCCAGAAGCGACTGCTGAATCTACTGCAGATGCAGTTCCTGCTCATGCCTGCCCTGGGAGGCAGAAGATGATGGCCCAAACAGGTGGGAGGCCCATCTCTGGATCCTTGCTTGCGTCAGGCCTAGCCCAAGTTGCTGCAGGCATTTGGGGAATGAACCAACGGGTCTAACTCTCTATGTCTCTCTCTATGCCTGCATCTGTCTTCTGTCTGTCTCTCTCTGTCACTCTTCCTTTCAAATAAATATTTTATTTAAAAAGATACAGCATTACCAAGAAAGGCCACGGCTGTATATATCTCTGACATTTCCAGAGGAGAGAGGCTAGGCTATGGCTGAAGGGTAGTCTGGTGGTCTTTGGGGGCCACACCTGTTCCAGTCAGTCTGATCATGGACTCAGTGAATGTCCACGCGTACACTCGGCCAGCGACTTTCTATTGAGCACTCACAACGTGCAGGCAGTGTGCACACTGGGTGGCCCACATGACTGAGACACGTGGTCCCCACCCTCACGGAATCCACAGTCTTGCAGAGAAACTCACTTCTCAGAAGTCATCAGAGTGCACTGTGGTAAGTGACAGCAGGCCGAGGACAGCGGCTGCAGCCCCGCGAGAGTGCAGCAAAGCCACTGCACCTGAGCCAGCGCAGAAAGCTTCTCAGAGGGAGACACCAAGAACTGAGTCCTCTGGGGTGACCAGGAGGTCGCCTGGTGACCGTCATGCTCACGGCCAAGGCTACTGCAGCCTGTGGGCTGACGTCTATAGCCAGGATCTAGAGCGAGTTCAAGGCCCAGGAATCCTAGGCTTGATTTCTCTATTGCTGCCTCTTGACAATTTCCCATTTTATTTGGACTTAGGTGGCCACTGACTTCCTTCCTGGAGCTCTGGGGAGTGAGGGCCGTGTCTGCTGGGCGGTCAGAGACAAAGGAGCCACACACCCCAGCTGCATGAGCCCAGTTCACGGAACCTCGGCTACAAATCTGCCTCTGTCTACTGCACCTGCCTTCCCTCCGGGCTTGCTCCACTCACACATGTTGCACAAATGAGGCAGCCATGGAAGGGGAGCCAGGCTTGCAAGCTGATACCAGGGAAGACCCTGCCTCCAAATATTTCCCCTCCACGCACCTGATGCCTGGATGCTGCTAGGAGCACACAGACTCCCACTCCATGCTTAATGGTAGCCGTGCACTGAGAGTGGGGAGACATGGCCAGCTTTATCTGCAGGGCACGTCTGAGTGTGGCATGACGGGCAGGGAGGGGCGAGACGTCACCAGGGGATTCGGGGTGGTTTGGGAGGTGGCTTAGGGATCTGTGTGTCGCAGCCCCAGCATCAGTGCCGTGCCCTGACTTCCGGTGGCACCTTGCCCTGTGTGCACGCTGTGTGGACGGGACTCCTGCAGGGGCGAAGGCCCCAGACCTGTCTGTGGACATCTGCGAAGGCCTGTGGACGGCTAGAATGGCTGCTCTGTCTGCAATGCCCTCGTCTTGCTCTGGTTCCATCAGCTCCTGACTCCCCTGCGTTTCAGGGCTGCTCGCCTCCCCTGTCAGCAGTGCAGTCCCTCTTCCCTGCGCAGACTCACCGAGATGGACATGCAGCTGCACCGGGTCGCTGAGCGAGGACAGGCCCGTCTGGCACCTGTACTCGCCCCCATCTTCAGCCCTGGCAGCTGTGATGGTGTAGGCGGGGGCCTGGCTGGAGAGGAGGCTCCCGTTGTGCAGCCACTGTGTGGTGTTGTCCCCAGCAGGGTGAAGCCCCTGGCACTTGAGAGTCACATGGTCATCCTTGAGCACGCTGGCCCACGGAGGGTCCAGGAGCACCAGCGCCTTGGGGACATCTGCTGCAGAGGTGGGAGAACACGGGGTGAGGGCGCGGGGCTGGCGGGGCCCGGCTGGCCCTGCCCCGGGAGAAGCCCAAGGAGCCTGTTGCACAACCACCGTGGGCAGCTCAGCCAGAGCCACTGACTCAGCCTGTGAGCGTCTTGGCCTGGAGCCCCACTTTGGGGCTGTCCTGTCTCTTGAGGAAAACTGGCCAGACGAGCCCGGGGACGAGGCCCACCATGTTGGGGGAACCGTCCCCGCCAGCCCCACCTCAGCCATTGCCCATGCGATGGTCATTTGCCAACAACCTGTGGCCACCAGCTCTCACGTGCCTCCCTTGATCAATCCCAGACATGAAGCAAACTCACCAGCCCGCGAGGAAGCTGAGACTGCAAGAGAGAAGAGCGCATGAGACCCTGAGCAGCGGCGGCCATCGGGGGCGGCGGGTGGGGACTGAACTGGGACCCCCGCTCACGCCTGCCCTGGGCGCCCAGAGAGCGCTCATGGACACTTGTGCTGCTGCCTGCCCCTGGGCACCGACCTGCACCAGGACCCTTGCGCCCTGCCTACTCCTCGCTCCCTGAGCAAACTCCCAGATTCAGGACACAGACGGATCCCTGATCAATCACAGACACAACCTCAACCCCAGCCCCTGGGAAGGCTGGAAACGAAAACTCACGGAGGGGCCCCGGAAGGCCAGCCCTCAGCCCCCCTTGGCCACACTCTTCAGTGCCCGCAGGGGAAACTGAGGCCTGAGGGAGGTGAGTGGCCTCACACTCACCCTGCACCCCCTGATTATGCCCCAGTCAGAACCGGCTGGTTCCTCCTCTCTCATCCCCCAGGGGTCAGGTTCGTCCTGGAAGCTAAATGCGGTGGTAGACACGGTACAGGTCCCGTCCCTGGCTGGCGGTCCCACCTCGGTATGGAAAGGAGTCCATGCTGAACCCAGGACAGCTGGAGCTTCTCCCTCAGTCGGGGCAACCAAGACTTACCTAGAAGCAGCAGAGCCACTGGGGGCAGCGGCTGCCCCATGCTGATGCACTGTAGTGAGCCAGTCACACAGACAGCAGGGACTCACGGACCAGAAAAGAGGAAGGAAACAGCCCCTCCCCTCCCGCCAGTCCGCCACTCACCATGTTCCTTTTCCAGGAAGCCCATCTGATTCTGGACTCCAGATTCTGAGAAGCGAGCCTCTCTCAGGGCAGGAACAGGAAGAAAGAGCCCGGGGGAGCAGCCGGGGTGGATGCACCCCCTTGCTGCCCCGGGTGTCCAGCTGACCGTCTGGACACGTGGCACCTGGCAGAGCAGGTGCAATCAGGATGCTTGTGTCCCTCTGCTGGGTTTGGGGCACCCAGTGCCAAGAAGTGGGCAGCAAGAGCCTGGAGCTGAGATGCAGGCTGGGGCCCAGTGGGCCTTTCTCAGAATTTCTCACCCTCCTGCCTGGCCCAGAACCACCTCCACCCCAGCCAGGGCCGGCCTGCAGGCAGGAAGGAGGTGTTTAAATCTTCAGCCCACTGGCTGTGTCTCTTGCAAAAGATTCCTTTCCCAGGGTCTGTAATCCACAGGGGATTCCACCTGCTCTGTGTGACACTGAAGAAAGCTGGGCCTTGATAGAGAGAGAGAGAGCGAGAGAGAGCGAGCGCTGGACCAAAGGGGGCAAAGCCGCTGGTGCCAGGCTGAAAGGGGCACAGACAGGTGGGGCAGGGTGGGGAGGCGAGGGCAGCAGCTCTCACCTTTGCCTCGGTGGCCCCAGGGCTGTGCTGTGCCCCAGCGGCTCAGGTTAGCTCAGACCCCTCAGGGGCCCATGGGCCTCGACTGGTCTTTGGGCCTGGTGGCCAAGGGCTCCAGGGCTGCCAACCAGCAACGGTGCAGGAAGTGGGAAGCTTGTTGACCTCTCTCATCCCCTGATGCACCCACCCTCCCCCACCCTCCCCAGTCCAGGCCCCAGACCCCAATCCAGTGATTGTGCTTGGTGGAGCTACTCTCCCAGGAATTCCTGAGAGTCCGGGCAGGTGTCATTGTCTTGGAAAAGTCTAGGAGGAGAGGAGCAGACAGGTGTGGCCCTGATGCTTGGGCGTGGAGTGGAGGCAGGGACTGGCACAGGCGCAGCTGCCCGCTGCTTCCGACTCATGCCCTTCCCACCCCGAATCACAGAAGCTCTGCTTCTCGGGGTTGGTTGGTCCTGTTTCGTGCTTGCGTGGAGTTAATGCTCCTTCCCATCGCCATCCATCCACGCCACCCACCTGTTCTTGCAGCGACCCCTCCCCCACTGGGCCTTGGACAGTGGCCACCCTACTGCTTCTCAAGTGGTTCCTTTACATCTTGCAAAAATCCAGACCAGGGCCAGTATGTGGAAACTTTAAAAACAAGCTCTGACCAGGTTTATGTTTTAAAAGAAAGCGCACGGCGTACTTCTCAGGTGTGTTGAGTTGGGCTTCTAAGGGTGGGAGAATCCCTGGGCCAGTGACAGCCAGGTGAACCCCGCAGCACCTCCCCCATCACAGGGATGGCCGCTGCAGCGCTCACACCCATTTGGGCCCACCCGGCGTGGTGTGGTTCCAGTTCCCGGGGGCGGTGGTGGCGAGGATGCCCGGCTTCGCTCTCCCTCCGGTGAGGATCTTCAGAGTCGGCGTAGCCCCAGCACGTGATCTCCCCTTTCCACAACATGCCGAGCCCGGAGCTGATCAACGCCGGGGACGTGTTCGCCTTCTTTGTGGCCACCATCTTCCTGCCTTAGATGCGGGACGGCCCCCCGCCGAGAGCAGCCGCAAACATGGCCGGGAGCGAGCAAGGCCAGAGCAGTAACGCAAGCCTCAGGCTCCTTGCTCAAGTGCCTCAGCTGCTTCCTCGGGAAACTGCAACAGCAGAGGCCCCTCCGGGGCTGCGGGCGATCGCTGAGCCGGGCGGGGGCGTCCCTCAGCTCTCTCAGTTCTTCCCAGTTCCGCAAGTGGTTTCAGCCCCGTGACGCGGGGTGCGAGGCGGCCGTCCCCTTTCGTTTTCCTTCTCCGAGGCTTCATTTCCTGCTCTGACTCAGCTTCTGCCTGTGGCCCCCAATGCAGTGCCGGGGATGCATCAGATTGGAAGGGGAAGTGACCCAGGCAGAGAGAGAGAAACAGTGGCACAGCCTCTGAGTCACCCTCCGCCCCTCTGCTCACGGGGGCACACTCGGGGAGGAGGTAATGACCTCAGCCTTGGGCGCGGTTGAGTTCGGTTGGTCGTGGAGACCTCAGGGGAAGGTGCCAAGCAGGCGTCCAGACACGCGGCCCGGGAACTCAGACGACAGGGCGGCGGGACTGAAGACACAGTGTAGGGGACCCCAACGTGGCAAATGCTTGGAACTCTGAAGGGGCACTGGTTAAGCTGCCACTTCCCATAGTGCAGGTCTGAGTCCTAGCCCCGCCCCATCTGAACCAGCTCTCCTGCAAATGAGTCTGGGGGAGGCCGAGGACAATGGCCCAGGTACTACGGTCCCTGCCACCCATGTGGGAGACCCAGATGGAGCTCCTGGTTCCTGGCCTTGGCCTGGGCCAGACCTCACTGTTGTGGCCATTTCGAGGGGTGCGTCCGTGGATTGGGCTCTCCCTCTGTTGCTCTGCCTTTCAGATAACTGAAAATAAATGAATCTTAAAAACAACACTTGTGGGCCGGCGCTGTGGCATAGTGGGTAAAGCTGCCGCCTGCAGTGCGGCATCCCATATGGGCGCCGTTTCTACTCCCGGCTGCTCAACTTCCGATCCAGCTCTCTGCTAATGGCTTTGGAAAGCAGTGGAAGATGGCCCAAGTCCTTGGGCCCCTGCACCCATGTAGGAGACCCAGAAAAGACTCCTGGCTCCTGGCTTCGGATCGGTCCAGCTCTGGCTGTTGTGGCCATTTGGGGAGTGAACCAGCAGATGGGAGACTCTTCTTTGTCTTTGCCTCTCCTTATCTCTCTGTGTAAATAAATAAATAAATAAATCTTTAAAAAAAACACACACACAACACTTGTGTTGAAAGCTTTAGTTCTTCTTTTAAGAAAAGTTGCAAATACACATAGCAGGTGCCTACTCATTGAGAAAGCTCCACGTGGATCTACCCAGGCCTGGGTCCTCTGTTGAGACACGCCATGGATGCAGTTTCTCCAACTCTGAGAGTGTGGAGCAGGAACGGCAGGAAGGCCTGAGTGGAGGAGAAGCAGAGGTAAGCACAGGCTGCTTCACAGAGCGTGCAAAGGAGGAACAACTGGCCAGGGGGTTTGGGCAGGAGGAGCCAGAGAAAGAACAGGGAAGCTCGCGGAGGGCCCATCCTCAAGGAGGGCTTTGCCAACAGCACCAGCGTTTGTAGAAACCTGCTCAAGAAAGTGCCTTCCATGTGGCCACGGGCACTGTACGGAGCTCTGCCTGGCCTGCCTCAGCTGCCATCCAATTACAGGTTTGGGTGACAGAAGTGTGATCTCTTGGGGTTGAAGACTGAGAAGAAATGAAGTGTTTCGGTGAGCTGCCACTCCTGTGCAGAACCTCCACTGTGGGGGAGGAGGGGACATTTCTCCCAGCTGTCCACTCCCCTCTCCTTGCTAGTGTTACCTGAGAAAGCGAGGGTTCTTGTCTTTGCACAAGAAAGAATTCAGGCATGAGATAGAGAGTAGTGGAAAGCAAAATAGCAAGGTTTATTAGGGAAGGGACATCCGTAAGAACAGATGGGCTCCTCTCCAGATAGAACCTGGGAGAGAGTGCCCAGTCACTCGGACTGGGGGAGAGCGAGGTTACATGGTTGAGTGGAGAGATTACACC